TCAATCACGGATATCGCTGTTACTTATTTTTATCAATTAAGAACGCGTAGCTTTGTGAATAAATTGTTAAATAAGTGAGAGTTATCTACAGGTCAATTTTACATTAAAATTCGAAAGTTAGCGTAATTTGTAGCATGGTCATCCGTTTGAAAGTGATAAAAATTTCCGCGAGGGAACATTTTCAAATTGGAGACACTTCACGTAGAAACGGAATAAAGTGTGTTGAATTTTTAAAAAACTCAATGTGATACACAGAGATTTTTTTTTCGTTCGCAACGGTAGCGGCTAGTTAGAATTCAATTGTAATCTGTAAGGAATTTCATCCACGTCAATTACTGAAAGTCGTTTGCATTTTCTGCATTGCATAAATCACTAGTCGCTTATTTTTAGGAATGTACGTATTGATTTTGATAAAATAAATTTGATATGCCGGAAGAGACCGATCTATTAGAACCATTTGTGTTCTGTAATGCATTTTATTCATCGATAAAGGTCAGATCTAAGCAAAGAATTTTGGTTATTTTGTTTCAGTGAAATTTTATTTGCATTATTTTCAGTGTTACAATTCCTTTGGTTGGATTGTAATTTTATTTAGCATTGAGAAGAATATTTCTACAGGAGAATGTATCGGTAGTAGGTACATTATGTGGTAAAGATATGAATCAAATTTAGCATAGTCCGGAGGATTAGCAAATAATCGTGCACTTTTGTATAGAACCATGAATTTTTGTATACGACTTACCTATACCCCAACAGTCATTTTAAACATTAGAGCCACTCTGGCTCTCTGCCAGGGGGGCGTAGGGTGCCCATTTCAAAATGGCGGCTTTAGCAATGGTACCCATTCGGTAATACCTCTGCCAACTCGCAACCATTAGGGCTAGAACAAAATTAAAACACGGATTTTGTTGAGCACAAACTTAGTTTAAAAAAATGTTATATTGATATTTACCCTAAATGTATTGAGTGTGGCTTTTTTTGGGGTCAAAGTTAACCTGTATTGTTTTTCCCACAAAAAGTCGAGAATCTAGGCTTTCTTCACTCAAAATACTGTTTTTATTCATTTTTTTAGATGTATAGTTAAACTTATTAACATATAAATTAAATTTGTTTAATTAAATTAAATTATAATGAAATTGTAATTTTATATTATTTGTTTTGTCTTATTCTTCGTATAGTAAAATGTTATATGTACCTAGTTTGAAAAGAAAATTATAGCTTTGGAATAATTATTATAATTAATTACACAATTAATTAATACTGTACTATAGCTATTATTCACGATCGCATCCACAACACTTGCAACGTGGAGTGCAAGGCAAGTTCGATTTCGTACACTTGCAGGAAGTACATACGCTGCGCTTACAGAGACATTTCACCACTTCCTTGCAAGCTTCGCTCGAGGGCTTTACCCCAGACATGACCTCCTTGGTAGGTAGCACGGAGCAGAGTCCTGAGGTAACTGTCAACGATTGCAGAAGAGTCCTATTTGTTCACAAGGGTAGGCAAATTGAGAATATTCCCCCTACACAGGATGCTCTTCGTCTCCATTTGCTCCGTGCTGCCTACCAAGGAGGTCATGTCTGGGGTAATGCCCTTCAAAGAAACCCTGTTCTTCCTGATCCAGGCGATTTCGGGTGGAAGCGCAGCAACTAAAGGTGGGAGGTAAGTGAGGACAAATTGCATTACATCAAAATAATTAAGGTCGCATATTATATAAATTAATTGAAACTTTCGATTCTATATCAGATGAAACGGATGGACCTGCCCCCAGGGATCGAAGCTTGCATAAGGAAGTGGTGAAATGTGACTCTAAGCGCAGCGTATGTACATCCTGCAAGTGTACGAAATTGAACTTGCCTTGCACTCCACGTTGCAAGTGTGGTGGATGCGATCGTGAATAATAGCTATAGTACAGTATAAACTATTAAGTAATTGTATAATTAATTAATTATAATAATTATTATTCTAAAGCTACAATTTTCTTTTCAAACTACATATAAGATTTTACTATACGAAGAATACAACAAATAATATAAAATTACAATTTCATTATAATTTAATTTAATTAATTAAATTTAATTTATATGTTAATAAGTTTAATAATACATCTAAAAAAATGAATAAAAACAGTATTTTGAGTGAAGAAAGCCTAAATTCTCGACTTTTTGTGGGAAAAACAATCACGGTTAACTTTGACCCCAAAAAAAAGCCACACTCAATACATTTAGGGTAAATATCAATATAACATTTTTTTAGCTAAGATGGTGCTCAACAAAATCCGTGTTTTAATTTTGTTCTAGCCCTAGTGGTTGCGAGTTGGCAGAGGTACATATTACCGAATGGATACCACCGCTAAAACGGCCGTTTTGAAATGGGCACGCTACGCCCCCCCTGGCAGAGAGCCAGAGTGGCTCTAATGTTTAAAATGACTGTTGGGGTATAGGTAAATCGTATACAAAAATTCATGCTTCTATACAAAAGTGCACGATTCTTCAAAAATATCGCGTTTGTCGTCCGGACTACAGGGGCACGTGATTTTTCTATAGTTCATTAGATGAGTCAAAGCAAGTTTTGTCGTTTTAGAAAATATGAAATCCATATCTATACAACTCTCGTACAGGATTCGTGTAATGTGTGTGCTGGTGTGGATGGGTCGTGTGCCGGGTCGCGGTTGGGAGTCGGCGGGTGTGGGCTCGTATAGGGAATGGGCCGCTTTAAAGATTTTATCAAAGATGAACGAGTGCCCATCGCTTGGCGCCCCTCTGAGCGCCTCTGCCTTAATTACTGGGTGTAGTGGCAGTACGTTCAAGAGAGTTTCCATAGCTACCGTAGGGGTCGTTTTCATCCCCCCCCCCCCCCTAATTCCAAGACAAGTTCTGTGCTGTACCTTGCGAAGTATTTGTATGTTCTTCTAGAAGGTCTTATAATATTACACCAGTGACGCATAAGCAACGACTGGTGTAATCATTTTAGGGTATATCTAGTGGGTTATTTTGGGAGATAGACCCCACTTGATCCCGAACGCTCGCCTATAGACCTACAGGGACTTTTTTCGGGCTTTTTTCGCTCCAGATGTGATTTCAAGATAATTGGTCTCACGTGATGCCCAAGTATTTACCTTCTCTCACTACCTGTAGCTTGGTGCCGTAAATTTCTATGTCTTTTAGCTTGTCGCGAGAAGGGAATGGGTTTGTTTTAAGGACTAACAGAAACCACTGCACCATATTTGATTTAAATGATAATCAGCATTTGCTATGGAAACAGTAACTTGATTATTAAGGATCCTCAGATCCTTTATAGTTTTGTATTGTCGTCCGTCCGTCCGTCCGTGTGCGCTATGACTCTTTTCAAAAGTGGCCGATTGTGTTGGAAATTTGAGGTATGGGTACTTTGGACATTAAGGACGGACGCTATTGATTTTCAGGAAGGTACATATCCCATATGTATACATTTAAGAAAAATTCCATGTATACTACACACGGTAGTATGTACTTCCTTGCTTTCCATAGCAGATTTATCAATTCTAGAGTGGTATTTTTCGAACGGTCCTAGAGCTACCACCGCAGAGGAGATTGGACTTTCAGCTACATCTACCTTTAGCACTAACGTAAAATAACTGCAATGGTTAGAAACGTATAACGTTAAAATTTTGAAAATATCTGTTTATTTACTTATTTATTTATTTAATTATTTATTTATTGTCATTCTCTTGTTCTGAGCACAATATTATCGCATTCTAATATTCTGAATTTGACGAAGTGTACCTCCAGTGAGAAGTTAAGGCTTGAGCACAAAGTATGCATTATAGGTACGGTAAACATTGGCACAAAATGAGCACACAATTATAGCGTGTCGATGGGTTCACTATCTTCATGTGGTACCTCCAACTTCACGGATTTTCAAAATCATGTGATCTGACAGCATTGGATTACAAGACGTTTACAAGGAGAATTCAGGACTTTCTTCATTGCATTTTAATAAACATTGCAGAAACTTCATCCATTTCATCTAAATTATGTGTTTTATTAAACATCGAAAACAAAGTCTCCAATTTTTAATATCTATTTAACTTTGTTGTACAAAAAAATGTACATAATACAGAGGAGTGCTTATGAATTTATATCTATCTAAAAAGTTACCTACGTCAAAAAAATTATTTTTTTGCCTATATTAGCACAAAAGTTTTGTTTAATGTAAAGGACAGGTGGCTTTTGTTTGATTTCTGTTTGTGTTTCAATTGTTTGATGTTATATTCAACGTATAGAAGATAGTAAGACTTGTGTTTGATGTGGTCGTAAGACTTCAAAAAAATTAAGAAGATAAATGTTCAATCCGTAAATTTCGAAACTGCAATGATTAAATTTGCTTGAAATCGGCGCTGAATGGTGAAAGTTTGTCGACAGTAAGAACGAATTAGTATAAAATGACGCTAGTTTAATCGGACTATGATTAATTGAATTTAAATCGCACAAAAAAGCTCAATGTAAATTTAAATACGCAAAGGCTAAATGCAACGTTCTCACAGCGCTAGGTTCGAATATTCATAGGGTTTGTGCCGCAGAATACCGCGATAAATCAAACAAATTCATGACGCAATTTACCGCCGACTAAAGGGTTGCCCTTGTCAATAAAGGGGCGCCACGAAATGTTACCTTAATCAGATGTTTCATCGGTGGATAATTCCGGTTTCACTTCGTTTCAATTACAAATTCCTGCGGGTCTACGACGCTTCCATTACGTACGCTATCCCGGGCCCAAGAAAGTCATCTATCACACCCCCAAATGTATATACTGTGTTAACGTGAGGCATGCAAAGTGCACATTTAGAAATTACTAAAGATACATAAAGCAAGTTGACGTTTTATAAATTAGTAGGCATTGTTAACTAGTCACTTCACCTCTGCTTAAATGTTACCTTGCTTAATGAATGCCGTGCAATTAATACATGAGCGTAAGCGGTATGAATTGAATTTGGTATGAAGTTTACGTAAAGGTACCTGTTGGTGGAAGTTAATATTCGTGCGAACAGTTCGGTGGTGGAGTGGTTGGAGTGGTCTGGCGTTGTTTCCTAGGGGAGCTTTCGGTGCTTCCTGTGATCCTTGCATTAATTTTCGTAGGGCGTATAGCTGTAATTAAGAAATTTATAGACATCAACTGAGATTTTAATGAAGTTTGTTGGTTAGAAATTTACCGTTAGGGTATAGATTCCGTGGCGACGTTACATATTCAAGGCGTTTTCAAATTATGCCTATTTTATTTAAACTTTACTGGTTAAACATTTACAAAGTTTGATGGTGCAATGAATACGTTACTATATGTTTATATGTTTAACCATTTAACCGCCGTCTATTAACCAAATCACGCGCCATTTCTATACTGTTGACTGAATTCTAAATCAATACTGCAGTGGAAATAAATTACCTACCCATACAAGTGACAAACTATGAAGCAGAAACACGATTCTGATTCAATTGAATCAAGTTTGGGATCTTTCAGCTAAAAGATCAACTGAAATGCATATGGTAGGTGCACCAATAAACATTTTTTTCTATTTCGGTGTCACAATGATGATTTTGTACAACTGTTTTCGGCCGAAAACAGTTGTACAAAGACAGTGATTATAGTCGTTTTTTTTTGGTAACTCATCTCTTAAGTTGGCAGTTACTAGTTAGTACAAGTAGGTACTTCGTTGGGTACTTCCATGTTTGAACTTCAAAATGTCAGTCTTACTACGCTGCCAACCTAAAACTTAACGGCATAAAAAGTGTTCCCAACATAAAACATGTTAGTTCTAATGTTCCCTATAGTTTCTGATAATGATTTTTTTAATTAAATTAAAGCACCGAAATAGAAAAAATAGTATGAAAAACGCGTGTTACAATGCTTTATTGTAATACTCCTACCTTGCGGACACTCGTGGCTACGCTTCGCGTCGCCACTCGTGCCACAAGATAGTCGTATTACAATAGGTCGCATTGTAACACTTGTCTTTCAATGTACTATTTTATTACACCTGAATCACAATCTCACACTCAAATGCGTGGACAAAAGGCCTTTAAAACACACGTGCTGTAAAGTTGCTAGGTAATGATACTTCAAGTAGATATGACTTTTGCAACTGTCATCTGGGGTTGAAATAAAAAATCCTCTTAGATGGCTTTCTGTAAATCCAGAACATTTCTTTGGCTTGTTGGCGTGTTGAAGCTTTCACAAACGCGCGTAATTTAGGTTAGGCTTCCAAGTCTGTTCCACTTTTTAATCGCAGCATTGTTTGAAGTTTTGAATGAATGCACCAAAAGATAGAAGATTTAAATACCTTTGACATTTCCTTAATATATGCCAGCATTATCGATGCATTTAAGACTTTATTCGTAAGTAACTATCATCCATGGAAACAACTTTTCATATTCTTTATAATAGGCTTTACTGGATTTGGATTTTAGACCTACCAACGTTTGTTTAAATTTTACACAAGCGATTTAATGGACGGTGTATTATCTTTTTCAACGGAAATCGTTTTATTCACAAAGACGATGATTTTTATAAACAAACGTCAAGTGACATTTCCATGGCAATCGTGAAATTACAAACACCCAGCCCATTTAATTGGACATGTATTCGAGTATAACGTCAATTTGATTTCATTGTATTTCCTATTTTTAAATTATACTGCAGGTATAATAAAAAATACTATAAGATACACGTGTATAATTGGTCTTTAAAGCACTTGCAACGTGTAATTTAGAGTTTCGATAAATCTGACAAATTCATGGGTCCATTAAAGATTTTATCTTATAAAATGTGCATACAAAAATTTTAGGAGTGTATCTCATATGTATATTTGTCAAACGTTCACAACACATCGTGATCTTTTGAAATAACCATAACATTTGTGGTACGTCACTTTTAAAATAGTCCGAACACGGACACTAGAAGTTCCACCTACTTTTTGTGGGTAACCTCTTCCGACAGTTTGTTTTCGATCTAATCAATAGATACGTCTCGTCGAGACGATTCATTTTGCTTTTGTGGGTACTCTTTTTCGACAGACACAAATCTCAATTGCCCTTTGCGAGCACTCTCTCCCGACACTCCGCTTAATTCCTTTCATTAGAGTACCATGAAGGATAAGCAGGACTGTGGTTGATAGAAAACAGTTTCTTTCGTTAAAACCTTTCATTAGAATACCACCATGAATATCTAACCCCTTCTACCCTTCACCCTTTGTACTCGAAAAAGGGGAGAAAAGTTTTTAGCCCCCCCCCCCCCCCAATCAGAGATTACAAATCGACAAACCTTTTGGTATTCTTGCAGCAACCATCACAGATAGAAGGATGAAACTAACAACATTCGCTTGGCCCTTGGGACCGGTTCTATATGAAAGAAGTGTTGGTTTTAGTCCCTTCTCCCATTTGCTAACGGACCATCACAGAATCAATCTTCCAACAACTGACAAATTCGAATTATTTCAAAGGTAGTAAAGATCACAAGGGTCTTAAAAAGGCGAGTTCTGTTGGTAAAAGGCTCCTGGAAACTCTTGTCCGCTCTTAAAAACCTAATAGCTTTGAAAATACCACTAAGAACCTTTAAAGGCTCTTAATAAAGTGATTAAATATTATTAAAATCCTGAGCTTAGTCTTTAAAGACTAATAGATTTTAAAACATGTAGAAAGCTGTTGAAGATTCTCAAATGTTTCCTGGAGATTTTTACAAACCCTTAATAGTTATTTATGCAATGAGTGTATAAATGAGGCGTTTTATTGGTGAGTGAGATGTTTAGTCCACGAGCGCAGCGGTAATTCAACTACAAGAAATTACAAACGAAATTATGCGAGCTCCGACGATTTTTCACTAAATTATAGCTATTGTCGTTGCTATAGTAATGTGTTGTTTTATGCTGTACCGTCAGTCCTCGTAATCGCAGTGGAAGATTATGTTGCTTGCTCTGCCGCGGAGACGATTTTAACATTATATCCACTCAAATCAAAAGATTAAAGAAACTTATTAGAACGGTTTCGATCAGTTCGGCAATTTATTGATGGAATACAATGAATTTGTAAGGACTATCAAGAACAGACGGAAAACGGGTAGATGGTATGACTCTGATCCCTTGGTCTCATGGTCTGCACTTAATTTGGGATGCGACTTGTTCTGATACACTTGCCTCTTCTCACTTGTCACTTTCCTCGCATTCCACTGGAGAAGTTGCGAGACAAGCTGCTGCTAACAAGGTGAGGAAATATCAGGAAGTTATCAATGCAGGTTACCAGTTTTTACCTTTCGCTGTTGAAACCCTTGGGCCCTGGTGTACAGAAGCTATGCAATTTGTAAATACTTTGGGAAAGAAATTGAAAAATGCCACAGGAGAGCACCGTTCAAAAACATTCCTTATTCAAAAAATTAGTCTTGCCATTCAGCGGCAATGCGCTATTATGGGCACTTTTCCTTCTACAATCTCTTTAGATGAAATTTTCTTCCTCTCTTAAATCTTTAAACCTTTTTTTTTTTTTTTTATTAAATACATGTAAGTTATAATGTAAAATAGGTGTTAAATAAGTATCAAATGTAAAAAAAAATAAAATTCTAAAGTATTTGAAAAAAAAAAAAATGTAATTAATTCTTTTGCAACTGTACTAAAGTACGTGTATTAACAGTGAAAGATATGGAAATGTTCATTGTTCATCCCTGTGGTCGACGTACTCAATGTTGAAGGTAAAGTAACTGAATACCTTAACAATAATGACTTATGTGAAAGTTTAACGTGTAACTTGCTGCTATTTGCTGACGATTTGAAGTTATACACAACAGTATCAAATGTGAGTGATTGCTGGGCATTGCAACTTCAACTTAATAAGCTTTTGAAATGGTGTACTGTTAACCATCTTACACTAAACGTTTCCAAGTGTCAGATTATTTCATATTCTCGTATACGTCACCCAATTAAATATGATTATACCATAGGGTCTCAATTATTATACCGTTCTACGTCTACTAGAGACCTAGGTGTCTACTTTGATGCCAGTTTCTCCTTTTCTAATCACATAAAAATAGTACATTCTTCGGCGATGAAATCACTTGGCTTCATTATGCGTAACTGCAAATCATTTACCAACGTACTTTGCATACGTTCGCTCTAAATTGGAATACTGCGCATTAATTTGGAATCCTTACACTAAAAGTGACATATCTAGGCTAGAAGGCGTCCAGCGTAAGTTTTTAAAATTTTTGTTTTATAAAGTTGAAGGTAGATATATATCCGGAGAGGGGATACCCTTATTCGTTACTGTTAGCCAAATTTGACTTCTGCTCCTTAGAGAAAAGGAGGGTTAGGAATAGTGGGACTTTTCTGTATAAATTAATTCATAATAAGATCGACTCCTTGGTACTGTTAAGTTTATTGAATTTTCGTGTTCCTACTTACACCTCGCGTACTGGAATTACTTTTTATTGTGCAGTGCCATATACCAATATACTAAGCAGCTCACCAATTCATACAATGTGTGCGCATTTCAACAAGGTATGCAATTCATGCGATATTTACCATTTTGATCTTGGCGCAATACTAAATTCAATTTGAAGACAATTTGTATTGTTTTACGCGAGCATTATATGCATATTATTAATAATAATTTTAATGCCTTAATAACATTATATATTATTGTAGAATTATTATTTGTGTAACTTTACCTTTTTTTTTTTTTTTGCTAAAGCTTGTCAAATAGGTAGGTATATTATATATAGTATTCTTAGTTTTACAATATTTTATAATTTGTTTTTCTTTAAATGTATTCAGGGGCAGTTATTAACTTTTTTTTTTGTTGTTTTTTTGTTTTTGAAATTTCACTTTTCTTTTTTCTCTCAATTTTCTTTTGTTATTAATGCACAATGCTTTGTATGTTCTATATATATTTAAGTTGACCCGTAAATGGATGCGTTCTGTTGGTCAATAAACTATTATTATTATTATAATACCTTATCCGAGGAGCTACATATACATACATCAGGATATGCTTTGCTGAGATCGTTTGGCGATCATACTGGCTGCTGATCTCACTACATTAAAACCGAGATTAAAATGGTTAGATGGATGGAAGTTCTCAGCTGTTGCCGAAAGTGAATTGTTATATAATTGTCATTTCCCTTTAATAAAATGGTTGTTATGTATAAATGGTTGCTAACGATTAATGGTTGCTAACGTATAATGGTTGGTTGCTAACCATTAATGGTTGCTAACGATTAATAAGCTTCATCATTGTACTGGTCACTAAGGAGTAATTTATATTGTTATCGAGAGGTCGACGAAAAAATCTATTAAAACCACATACATTAAATCTAAACCACTCTTAAGAACTTTTTGGAAGACTCTTAAGCACTCAAAACCCATTAATGGTCTTAATCGTTTTCAAATTGTTACCTCTAAGTGAGATTTTTCGAAAATTCTTAAAGACTTGAAAGATTAATAAAATACCCTTGAAACCCTTGAAATTTTTTAAATCACTTAAGTGGTATTGGTAAGGGTTGGTAAAGAATTTAAAAGATTTTCAAAAATCTTAGCCGTAAAAGTCAATTTCAAGGCCTCTGGGAGTCTCTTTTAAACGAATTTAATCTAAATTTCTTTAGATTAGAGGCTTTTAGATGGTCCTAGAATCTGTTTATGAGTTTAAAATGCTTTTCAAGACCCCTAAAGAGCTTTCAATACTCTTAGAGGTTTTAAGGTCTCTTCAAGATTGGTATATTACATACCATCACATACCTTTAAAGGTTATTAAAAACTCTTTAAGGGTTCTCGAAAGCCCATGAGCCATGTTATAGTCTCTGAAAGCTGCTATAACCCGTTATTCAGAACATTAAAATCTCAGTGGAGAAATGACTCTTATATACATGACAAAAAAGTTTTTAAACGCCCATAAAGTTTCTAAAGACCTTTATACATTTTTAAAAGCTGTTAAAGAGAACTGATATAATGACTACACGCTCCTAAAAGCTTTAAAGTAGCACTACAAAACAAAACAATTTTTGACGACTCTTGAAACTCGTGAGGTTTCTTGGCAACTCTTGACGGATTCTAGTTTTTAAAGGTCTTCGCGAGTTTTCACAAATCCCTCGAATAGAGCGTGCCATACAGGGTTTCCTAAAAAACTCGAGACGGGGCTATAAGTTTCAAACGAGTGAAGAAAAAAATCTAAAAGTGCCGAGATCAAGAAAAAGTCATAAAAACTACTCGTTCATACACCTTTAGGGACTGATCCCGGGACTGATAACAAAAATTTTGAAACTGAAGCCTCTATCGAGATTCATCTTAGGTAAGTGGAAAAGAAACACATAAGATTTCTTTATTTTAAAGCAGATGCTAAATTGACATTTTAATAGGTTTGAATGAATCTCTCTATAACAGTATGAGAACAAGTGATCACTCAAAAATAAAATTGTGTATTATACGCGTCGATAAAGGGAAACTAATATACATTCCTTTATGGTTTTGTATGATAAGTAACTATTAATTATTAAATAAGGAGCAACCCGACAGACGACAGGTGTTGAATTTTTGAATATTTTGGGGTTATCGGTCCCTAAAAAAACTCCGCAGTGTATAAAACTTGAAACCATCTAAAATGTAGTTTTTATGACACTTTATTGACCCCAAAACATTCAAATTTTATTCTTCACTCACTATATTTTAAAATTCCACATCACACACTTTTAGTTTGGGTTATTGTAGCAACCTTCTCTGCGAGGCAGTACCATAACTACTACTACACTTTCAAAATATTGGATTTGTGCTTTTTGTATTCGGCAAGCGTAAGCTAAATCTTGGTTTGATCCTAACATACCTAAATTATGATAAAAATATGTCAACATTTTTATTTGTAGATAGATTTTGACGGAATAATGGCATGTAAACCAACCTGAATTGTCCGTAAAAGTAGGTACTTTAATTTAGTACCCACATCATCAATATACCTACCTATACGTTCCACAGAATATCCCCTACGGATTCTTAATTTCTTTGAAACTGTTCCAAATATAAATACGAGAAACTTGAGCAAACACTTTTTCCAGAACGTATTGTTTGAGTTACCCCAGGACTTTGTAATAGTTTTTAATAGAGATCTAGGTTGTCATTTTGTGTCGTGAAATTAGTTATGTCATTAAGTACAAGAGAGGAATAAAGCTAATGCTCTCAGTTTATCAGTTAGGGTGCATTAACTAATTTCACGTTTGTTCCGCTGTGAAAGCGGAAACGTTTTAAATTTACGCGAACGCCCGGGTTGGAATAATTAAAGTAGTAAACACGTAAAAAACGTACCTACCTCATGCTTGGTAATATAAATAGGTTTATTAAGTATAATCCACACGGTAGTTTCCCAACAGCCAGGATGCGTCGTCGAACCTTCGTACGTCATGAACTGCTCCGTGTCGGGTAGAAGACTTCTAATGGATAAATGTTTTATTGGCGTAGACGCTCCTGAAACAAGATTACTTAATTTATTAATAAAGAATTGTTGTATGCCGTAGTGCATTTCGCAATTTGCAGCTGAACGCGAATTTCTGTTCAATTCCGTCGAGAACAAAGTGAATGCAGAAAAGCGCAGATAGGACGCAATGGAGTGATTTACCTGATGATATATCGACAAGTAGGGAAATACATTGTATAGGGGTGCGCTATGCAGGTGCAAATAAAGAATGTTTGTCATTTTAATGCTCCATAGTATTTATAAAGTGCACTCTGGAGACCAAATCGCTGAGAGAGAAATCAATTAGGTACCGTTGATGGATCTTTGCACTGTCCTTTGAAAAATGCAAACGCTGACACAGTATTTAAATCAACGTGGTATATATTTTAAAACAGAGTGTTAAGAAAAATCGTTACTCATATAAAAGTTTTTAATCTCCTTTGGCAATTTTGTTAACAATCAGATTCTGGAAGACCTTTCAAACTAAGCGAAGCCTTATAATTAAATCTTAATTAAAATTAGTCAATGAATAAAAAAATGTGTTCAACCAGAAATCAGGATCAAAGTTATATGTTTTCAAGCATTCATTATATTGAGATTTCACTAAAACTGAAGAACAAAATTCATTAGGCTTTACATCATGATGTCATGTAATTTTTCAGTCGGGATGTATGTCACCGCTTTTCAACCAATTGATGTATGAATGAAACGCAGTATCTACAATTTGGAAGAAATTTGTTGAGTTTTGGAAGGATACCCCTAATTTTGATTTTTATTAATAATGACCATTTCGAAGCACCCGCGTTTGTGGGTCTGAATTGGAGTAGGGTCATAAGTACACTCGCGTATAAAATAGTACGAGTAACAAATCAGAAGCAGTATGCGTTACGCGTTTTTGAAATTTTTTACACATCACTGTAAAGAACCGGTAAGAAATACAAAAAAAAGTTTACATTACCTCTAGCCCGTAGTATTTTTTAAATATCGTAGATATCCTGCCTGAGGTTCCTGCGTGATAAATACATTACCCTAGGTCAGCGTTCTTCACAATTGCAGCTTCTTTATAAGACATGGACAAACTCCAAACGGTGTTACATTTGGAAAAGAATGCAGTTCGACCCCGATTAAATAGGCTCCACTTCATCCAATCAACGATTGCAGTATTATTTAGGTCAAAGATCTAGGCTAATATGCTCGTAAATGCGCTGTTTCAGAAAGCGTACTGCAATTTCATTTACACGATTATTTTCATGCTTAAACGGTTGCTCCTTCTGCATGAATTAAAGCGCCATTTGTTAACCGATTAATTACAACGTCGGATATTTATAATTGAAAAGTAAAAAAAAACTACATGTTTAACAACGAAATTGTTTACTCGAATTTCACACCAAAGCTGTACCCACTCGACCGCTAATTATTTACTTTGCAAAAATCGCTCGGACTATCTTTATGCTTTCGCAGTCGCTACCCCTTTGCTTTCCTCTTTGCGCTTCGCTATCTATATTAAGCTAAAAACGGAACCAACCAAATTTCTCCAATCTGCGTCCCCTTTAAACCATTAGCAAACTAGTACCGAGCCACCTAGCAGGAGGTTAACTCGCTTTCTCTTTACACAATAGGACTACCACAGAACACAGAAAATATTTGGGAACACCAGTGGATACTATCGAGAGAATACCAGAAACCCTTTCTAGAAATAGTGGATCTCATAATATTTCTACTTTTCACATTTAGAAAGAGGTGTTCATTGACGGTATATTTATTACCTACGAAGGGTACACGCACTTTGCCGCCTTTATTACAAAATGCCGCCCTTGTATCGGTTTGAGTACTTTTGTTTTACCAAAGCTTGTTTACATAACGGTTTACTGCGTAATTATAAGTATACATTTTTCCGTATGGAATTGTTTGCAGTATGTGTCAGGGTATATGCAAATCGTTCATCTTAAGTACACTTTGCATGGAATCATAAATATTGTACTGTTTACTTTAAATTAATGAACACCGCACTGTCCGTAAATGTTTACAATAGACATTGAATTTGAACGTAACACAAATTTATTTACGGTATTTACTTTGTTAAATATGAAACTAAACTAAAAACTGTGTACAAATTGAAGGTAAATAAAGCGCGTAGGGGTGTCAGTAATTGCCGGAGTTAAAGCTAGGCAAATTTTATAACAGGAACCAACGGCTTCTCACTCAAAGCGATGCATATACGAAGAACTCAAAGTGACACAAATGGCGCAGACAAACGAAAAACATAAAAATATAAACCCCGTATATTTCTTAAGAGCTAAAAATGATTTGAACTCTTTTTTCATTTCTCCATGCTAGTGAAATATGTTTTGTGTGTGAGGGCCTCGCTAACAAATTGTTCTCGATTTGAGAGGGCAGGAGAATGAATAATAAAATACCGAGCGTACAACCATATTCCGCTTCCTCTCATCCCTTAAATTCATATCTGTATATACAAGATTAATTTGTACCTTTCTTTGTCCTTTTACTGCCTCCTCCAAATTTTCAATTACATCCTAATATAAAAGTATTTCATTAATTCCGCAAGGTAAAGGGCGCGGCTGTAAAGCCAATTTTAAACGAGCCGGTTTGTTACAGCATCTCATTGATTCAACGTTGTAACATTTAAATGTATTTCACGAAGTTCTAGTTTAGAATTGACCTACTTGTCTCAATTCCTCCCTTGGGACCTTCTAAATCGCTACTGCTCATAGAGCCCATCAAGCCAAATATGTACTATAGAAATTGAACTTCTACCCTTCGTAATAACTTAATAAGCCGCCAATGATTTTATAATAGCTATGGCTTAACGTAATCCAGTCAAATTACCGCGTGATTTCATTATTACGTTTTATGTATCCAGCGTTATCTGGTTCATTAAAATGGGGACATTGGCGTTTACGTTATGACAATACTCTCAAAGATATTTCTGAAAACCTTACTTGAATCGTAAATTTTGCAGATTGCTTGGCGATTTTCTATTCGAGGCGCGTTTATCTGACTTCGACGATATTGATGAACTTTTTGTTTACCGAATCTTATCGGTAGGTTACAAAAAAGGTTGTTGAACATCTCGGAGGTTCGTCTTTTATACATTCAGCAGTCACGTCGCTATACCCCAACGGGGTGGAACAGATGATCTCCGCATTTCGTTAATTAATTCATTATATGTACCAAATGTTACTACAAGCTAATCGCCAGTGTCTAATTTAGAGTTAGTAGATATAAAAGATGGCATTATAAAAATACTATGCGATTATAAAAGGGTGAACTTCCCGCTTTTATCCAACATGATGTTAGTAACCATTTGCCGTACTGGCATTATCTATCTGAGATGAGGGCACATTTATAAGGAAACTGGCAGTTGCGCATGGATCAAAGCAACACTGCTATCGGCTGTTCTACGAATTAGTCACCAAAAAACAGCACAGCCAATAAGACTATCCAAGTCATAGGTGTCCCCCAAGTCCTATCGTTGACCCATAGCATAGGATCGTCTGCATCTGAGTTACTACTGCATGTAACGTGAGGGTTGTCAGCAAATAAATAGCGAGACAGTTCTTACAATTAAAAAAACCTGATCTTCATGTCTTATTCACCAAGAACCCGAATAAAAAGAAAAGGCAACAACGCAGCCTACTGAGGAAACTCCTAAATGGTCATACAGTGTCAGATCCAATATCGCCGCTTCCAGCAACAATTAAACGTCATCGTCAAAAGGAAGTTATTCAGGTGTGTCCTTCACCCCCTTTGCTTCCACCACATAAAGTTTAATGTTTTAAATGTTTATATTTTTGTTGTTCGTGTTACATTAAATAATGACCGACTTAGCATTTCAATGGTAGAGCGTTGGGCTATAAATCCGGAGGTCGGGCGTTCGAACCTGGGTTGAGGTGAATTTTTCATCTGTTGCAGAGATGGGAGCTACCTTAGACCAGTTTCGAGCATTCTGCCGGCTACTCCGAATTAGGTTTTCCTGCAGTTTTCCTAATTTGTAAGTTAAATACACAACTTAAGACCTTCTGCAGAGACACCTCTAAAAAGCATCATGCGGGTCACCCTGTAATTGGGCGCAAGCCTCTCGAGGGCCCAGAAAAAGAGAGGGATAATAAATAAATAAGTCAATAAATAAATAAAAATAAATAAATGTTGGAATTGTGCTCATGTAAGTAAATTCTACTAATTACCTATACGTTTCCTAAAAGCTTATTGCGCGTTATTTAGTATAGGCAAAATGACGTTTTTGACAGATACCCTGCAATAAGTATAAGTTAAACGTTTGTGATACATCACAGGGTTGAATGTATACATATACAATGCTTGTGCTTATCACAAAGAGTGATGAGGACTCGGCGAACAATCTCATTATAGTAATTAGAGGAAAAAAAAGGCGTACCGAGCAATAATTATAAAAAAGAGAAAACCAAATACGAATATGATCAATTTTTCAAAGTTGAAACTATGTAAATACGTTTTTGGTAACTTACACATTAATAGGTTAAATGACCAGTCTAATTCAAATCTGTGCGAATGAAAATGAATGTTCCAATGCCCTACAACAAATAAATACATAATTAGCGAGAATCTTTTCATGGGGTTCATTTCAATGAATTTTTTCTCAACAATGGGCTCATCCCGCCTTCATTTTTTATTTCTGATCTACAAAGTACATTAAAAATAAAAAAACCCGTGTGTCCTCAATTTTTATTTGCGAGTAAAATAAACCCAAAATAAATTATTGAAAAGCTGTGTTTTTAGTCCGAATTTGAAACGCTTCAGATTAAATACGTCACAAACCTACAACCAATCACGTAGAAGTGAGCTGGCAACCTTACCCGAGGGTCTGACGTTTGTCACATTTGACGTTTTGAGAGGGATGTTTAACTGCATCTAGCACGAAAGTGACAAGTTCCTGTGACAGATGACGCAAGTTATAAATGCCATTCTCTTGCAATATTGCCAAGTCGTTATGTCATCTGAATGGTTCTAGGAG